GCTGATTTCTCTTGAGCTTAGCAAAAGATTGGAAGAACTCAAATTAATGAATTCAGGTGGGTAAAGCCTAAAATCTTGAAAGAAGCTGATAAATTCTGCAATGGTTCTTTTGATGACTCCACTAAAGAAGATTAGTTTTGACATCATCAGATATGGGGAGATTGTAAGATCACACCTTATGATATGATGAGTCAAACACTCTATACGTTGACCGTCAGCGCCAACGCCAACATTAGCATCACCGTATAGATAGTAATTTAATGTAATCTTTGTATATTAGGTAATTATATATATATATAGCAAATCCGATATCTTGGTGATAAGGATCAGTTCTTAGTATAGATTAGATACAATCCCTTGATTGAACGGATATACTAGTATAGTTTAGTATATGTTCAACATTAGGGTGAAACCCTAATGTTAACGTCTTGGTGACCGTCTTTGTGACAATCCGTTTTCTTTGTGAAAACAAACCCCTTTCTTGGTGAAAGGCAATTTAGTGAATCTTTCGTGTTCTTTACTTTGTCTGTTCTTTGTTTGCTTAGTTAATTCATTCTTGTTTATTATACTTAAAGTGTATTTGATCGATACAATCCTTCAAGAAGATTTGACCTCTTATAAATTTGCTGAAACCTTAATGCAAGCCAGAACTTTCTACCAGGTATCTCAAGACCTTCATATGGTGATGATGTGTTTGAATTACTAATTTCATCAAGAAGATCAATAATGTCAAGAATTTGCATATTTTCAATGTCTGAAAGGTAATGTAACATCTCAATGGAATCCGCGAATCCACTCAATCCAGAGTTTTTAGGGCTGGAATCGATTGAATTGCTAAAATATATATTTTTAGGGCTAAATGTTTAAAATATAAAGGAATAAGAAGTGAATATAAACCAAACCTGTAATGCATCCCTCTATTACATCCCTATGGTGGACGATGACAACGACAACATCGTATAGAGACTATCTGCATCCGAGATTACAAGTTCCAAATCTATGGTTTTCACTTTTGAGAGCCTCACGATTTCTTGATCAATCATAAACATGATTACTCTCGAACGTTGTAGGATTTCAAATTGATGCAGTGTCAATGAAAGCTGAATAGATCTGGATGTATATATGAAGTGAAGTGATGCTGACATATTTGTGTGTGTGTGAGAAAGAGAGAGAGAGAGAGAGAGAGAGAGAGAGAGAGAAGAGAAAGCGAGAAACGGTGAGGATATACGTATATGTGTATGGAAGTAAATTTTTATATTCCTAAATTGCCCTCTATTTGATTTAATTAAGATGCCATTGTCTACTTAGTTTTTAACTTATTTACAAAAATGTCATCTTGCATCTGGACCCTTCTTTTTCTGATCTAATGGCCTAAAATAGTTCTCGGATTCTCGGGAAACTATAAGTTTTCAAATATATATATATATATATATATAGATAATATATATATATATATATATATATATATAGATATATAATATATATATAAATATAATAGATATATATAATATATATATATAGAGAGAGAGGAGAGAGAGAGATAGAGAGAGAGAGAGATGTAAGTTCAGTTGAAAAAAATGTTGAGAATGGATGAATCATTTCTTAGTCAATAATTTATTTTTGCTGTAAAACGCTCTGTCGTACCGGCGCGACGAGGGATAGGTAATATTTATATGTGAATATAAGGGAAAATGACTTACCAGGGTAATCATCTTTGTCGCTTTGTTCACATTTAGGTAACTTCTTTATTTTTGTACACATTTGACCATTTAACTTGTTATATGTGTTCACATATTGCCATTGTCACCGGCTATAGGAGGTGACAATGGTAATATGTGATCAAATTAACAAGTTAAATGGTTAAATGTATACAAAAAAAGAAAGTTGTCTAAATGTGAATAAAACGAAAAGTTGATTACCCTGATAAGTCATTTTCCCCACTTTTAATAACGATTTTTTTCATATTTGTTTGTATTAATTTTTTCAAACGTTATTTTTAAAATATCCATAATTTCCTAAATATTAATTAAATATTGATCAATTTTAAACTTTACTTTTTAATTAATAAATATGTTTTTGTTTTGTGAAATTTTTAAATAGCCTCTTATATTTTTTTTCCTTTTGTTTTTAAGCATATACAATATTTTTAGAGTAAATAGTATCTAACAATAAAATTAAATAAATTAAATGTGTGACAATAAGTATGAAGGGTCTTTTAAAAAAAATAAAAAGAAAATTATACTTAGCAAATAAAAAAACAAAAATAAATCTATATAATATAAATGTTTTAAATTTAATCCAACTTTTTAATACTTTTTAATTAGAAGTTTATAAACTTTTATTTTTCTAATACAAGGTTTTAAACTATTATTTAACGAAAATGTTATAAAAAAATATTAAATTGTCATACAAAAATCTATGAAACACTTTAAAAATGTTGTAAAAGAAAGTTTAGAAATATATATATACGAAAGTTATAAAAAAGTTGTATGAAAATGTAAAAAAAAACAAGTTAAAAACTTGTAAGAAAATTTTAAAACATTTATAAAATATTTGGTTTAAAAAGAATGTTCTAAAATTATATGAAAGTATAAAAAAAAAGTTACGTGTATATATATATATATATATATATATATATATATATATATATATATATATATATATATATATATATATAGTTTACGTTCTATGGAAAACAAAAAACCATAAAAATACATAAAAAAAATACTTAGAGATCATAAAACATTTTTTTGAATTTTTTTATGAAAAAATCGCAGCTTTTACTACAAAATCGCTGAATTTTTTTTAAAAAAAAACAAATTTTTTTTTATAAAAAAAAATTGATTTTTTATTTTTTTTTCAGCGATTTTATTAAAAAAGTTGCGATTTTTTCATAAAAAAAAGTTTTCTGATCTTTAAGTATTTTTTTATGCATTTTTATGATTTTAGAATGGGGGAATCATTCTCAGCCACTCATTTAATCTAAGCATAAAAAGACACGGTGGCAAACTTGTAAATATGTTAATAACTTTCAATCTCAAATACGTAACTATAGAGAATTCGATAACAATACGTTTATCATCAAAATTTCTCCTCCAACCTTCAACAATCATCCAGATTTCTTCAACTAAACAATCATCAATGTCATCCAATGTTAATCAATCATCGATATTCGTGGCTGGGAGGTTCGCCGTTCAAGACAGATTCGCAACCCAAATTCATCAATTTCATCGATTTCTTTGTTGAATACTCTGAATGTTCGTAGCTTGCAAGCATCTGTTAAAGTTCATAACGGATTTGGAACTGGAATTTCCCAGATTCGCAAACGAACTGAGTTGGAATCGGAATTTCTTCGCTGTTCATGAAATTGGAATCGGAGTTCTGGACTCGCAGTCACAGTCGACATTGAAGGACTCGGAATCGGTACTCACAGGTTCCCAATCGGATTTTCGAAAATCAAAATCAAAATGAGAAATCGATCAGACATAGGATGTCGCATCTGAAGTCGAAATCAGAAGTATATGATGATTTGGAATTGATAACTTGAATTGGAAGTATCAGTTTTTAACATTTTTAAAATAGTTAATTTGTATGCACTCCAACTGTTTGATGAAATGCATAAACTAAATTACCACGTTATATTCACATATGATATGTTTTCTCACATGAATCAGTATATGATTATTAAAAACACAAAACAAATATGCAAGTCTGTATGTTATTCATATGTGAATAACATATGAAAGTTATATATATTTGTGAAAATACCTTCTAATATTCATAAGTGAATATATTCACAAGTGAATATACCTTGTAATATTCATATGTGAATATATTGTGTAATATTCATAAGTGAATATATCATCTAATATTCACAGTGAATATACTATATAATATTCACATGTGATATACCATGTAAAACTATGTATATTCACATATGAAAATATCATTTATATTCATAAGTGATATACCATCTATATTCACAAGTGAATATACTATGTTAATATTCACAAGTGAATGCATCGTCTAATATTTAAATATGAATATACTATGTTTATTATATGCTATATTCATATATGAATGATACTTAAATTGTAAAAAAAATTAATCATACTTTTTATTCATAAGTGAATAACGAATGTACTGTAATTAAACCTGATACATTTTTATTCAGTTATGAATAACGATAGCTGAAAATATAAAAAAATAAATTTTTTATTTTATCTTAAAACTATATCAATATGGATGTCTATTTGTAGAGAATAAAAAACCATGAATTTTGGTATATTTAAAATCATTTTTCGATAAAAATAGCTTCTTAAAAATTAAAAAAAAAAAAAAAAAACTATGTTTTTGTATATATTAAGGTAATTATTAGCATAGTTTAAGGAAATATGTTTTGTTGGAAAACACATGTCTATTCATTTCCCATTTTCGCTGGTACGACGGAGACTTTTGCGGCAAAAATAAATGAGTGGCTGAGAATGATTCCCCATTCTCAACGTTTTTTTTTCTCAATTGAACCCTCCTATATATATATAATATATTATATATATATATATATATAGAGAGAGAGAGAGAGAGAGAGAGCTAGGTTCAAATGTTTTTAGCAACTATTGTGTGCATAAATGCACCAATAGGAATTTAGGAAAAAATAAATCATTAAATAAATTATTTAAGGGTATTATAGTAATCTTTGCATAGTTAATTATGGTAGATCAACAACAATTCCTTATATCACGCAAGAAACAAAGATAAATTTAGAACATTAGCCTTAAATCAAACCCACCGTCGTTCCGCTTCTGCTTCTTCTTCTACGCGTGTGGTCTCAATGATTTTTATCTGTTCAATCTTCAACAACAACAATATCAACAAGATCAATAGTCATACCAACCAACAACAATGAATCAAGAGGCAATAGATCGACCCGGAGGGTTTTTTTTATTCGAGTAGGGTTGAAACAGTGTCGACTACACCACGATGCACTCCTGGTCGTCTTCATGTCGGCCACCACTGCCTCCGGTCTCCATACGACGGAAGCGATGACGCCTCCCCCACCGACTTCTTTCATTCTATTATCATCAATCCGTTAAGGCCCACAAGGTTTTGTTTCTCAGTTTCGCCACCGCTCTCCAGTCGAATTTTCCACCTTCGAACCGAAACCCAAAGTGCCATTCATCGGCTTCTTCTTCTCCACATTTACTTCCCACCATCTACTCTAATCGATTTTTTTTTCTGCAATCATCGACATCTTTGAACTGCTACGCCTCTCTTCTACATAGCTCTTGAGCGATTGACTAACAGGTGAATCACTACACTTTCTTTGAGTTGCAACTATTGTGTAATTGTATTTAACATTGACATATCCTTGATGCATCCCATGTTTGACTGCAGACTGCAATTTCTGCTTTGCAATCTGTTCTACAACAAGACTTCAAGGCCAATGAAATTGATGTATCCAAAAAAATTAAATTATGTTCAAAAAATAAAAGAAAATGAATTTTGACACATGTTATTTGGTATGTTTTGTGGTAGGTTGGAATTGTGAGAAAAGTGAATGCAGTTTTTCGTGTGCTGTCAACAAGATGGTATAGGGCTCAAAAATTGAGTGGATCATTTATCTCTAAGGTATATGGTTTACATTTTCTGGACTTCGGTAGTGTTTTGGAATGATGGAATGGAATGATTGATTCCATTGGAATTAAAAAAAAGCTTTTTTTTTTGTCTGATGGAATGGAATGGATTACTTCTTGCTTCTTTCCATTTTGTTAATTTTCATTCTTTAGTCAGTGTTTTCATGGTTGTAATCAATTGGTACCCACGATAGGAATTCTATTATCCACACCGACCATCCACTTAAGGATTTTTGCATAGGTACTGATCCAAGTACTGGTATTCACTCATTTTTTTATAATTCTTTATATGTTATTAGTTTTGGTTGTCAATTGGTACCCACGATAGGAATTCGATTATCCACACCTTTTGTAAAGCGGGTCGTTTAGAGTATGCAAAAAGAACTAATAGACTCTATATCAAGTTTTAACATTAGAAAGTATCAGGTTTGGTTCTTTATAGAATAAATTTGACTATTCTAGATTGACAAAGTAAAGACAGAAGCTTCTCTCTCTAAAATTCATTCTACCACAGGTAACCAAAATGTTCACTTACAGGTATGTTCTGTTTGCTTTACCAAATGAATGTTAACCTGTAAATTCTTTCAGAATGAGGGCAATATTCTTTTAGAATAAAGAGGGCTTTAGTTTGAAGAAGGCTACTATTCTTTCAGAATGAAGAAGGGAAATATTCTTCACATGTAATCCTGCAAATTGATCAGACCTAGACAACCAAAAAAGGCAAGGAAGCTTTAATTTTATTCTTTTACAATGATTGTTCTCTAGTAATTCTGACAGAATACATTTATACACGCTTTAGAATGTTTATGCATATAGAAGAAAAGACTATGATTTAAGTGCATTCTGTAATGTATTCTGTTAGAATTTATTTATATAAATGCATTCTGTTAGAATGTCTTTGAGAATGTTTGTTAACAACAAGTATATTTGTTTAAATGGTAAAACTAACGAGTAATGTATCTTATTCTTTCAGAATTGTATGGAGAAGGAATTCAATATTGATCATACAAGAGAAATATTTGGAATCGAGTTCAACAACAAGTATATATGTGAAGATCAAGTTAATTATATAGACCATTGGAGATGATCAAGTGTATTTGTTCAATAATTGTATATTCAAGAATGATATTTTTTTTTAAGAATTTTATTCATTTTTGATGATATTCTGTTAGAATATGTATAATTTCGGATGTATATTAAGAATAAAATCATAGACTCAAGTTGGATGTATATGAATAATATCTTATTCTTAAATCAGGTCAATTACCAAATATAACTGCATTGGAAATGTATTCTACAAGAATAAAACCGAAAATATATGTACTAGTTTATGGTTGGCATTCTGTCATTCTGACAGAATAAAATCGGATTTTTAAATTTGAATTAATTTAAAATATTCAGATTTTTAAAAAATAAAGGAATTAATTATCCCTTAAATTATGGAAATTTCCTTTTTTTAATATAGGTAAATTGACCAAAATACTCTTATGCTGAAAATTGTGTGATTATATGGTGCATGTTACCCTATTCTAATATCATAGACTCTCAGATCATGACCTTTGATTTTATTCCATCCGGTGGTCCAGATCTGTGCATTCTGGCACACAATAGTTAGTAAAAACAAAATAACATAAACCTATATATATATATATATATATATATATATATATATATATAATATTATATATATATATATATATATATATATATATAATGAACGTGTAGAATTTGGTTTATGGATTTTGTTTTCTAGAATACATGTCGATGAAGAAAATCTAAGAAAACATAGGAAAATAAAGTGCATGTGAGTCAAGACTTCCGGATACCAAGAAAATGGTGTCCGACATTACACACTCAAATAATTCAACAATTTATCTCTTTTTGTGTTCTTTCTCTTTTGCCCACTAACCAACTCAAAATACTTGAGCACAAAACAAGTAGCAAAATTTCATCATGTGATAAAATATAAACCTTTAATAAAATAAATAAAATATAGCATCCAAAGTTTAATTTTGATATAATATCCCAAATTTATTTATATATAAATTCTCTGATTTATGAATTTAATTCAATCAACACTCCACCATCTTTGCCCTCTTGTCTGCGTTCCCAAAAAGTGAAGAACCCTAACTAATTCTCTCTCTCCCTCACTATCCCTCCTTTACTCTTCTCTTTAAATATATCCCCATTTGCAAAATTAGGCACTTTCTTGATCAAGCTTTACTATAATTTAAACATAGGTCTCCCTTATAGAGTAATGTAGCTCTTTCTTTCACTGTTGTTGACTTTGGGAATCAAATCTCTTTGCTATGTTGTCATCTATGGTGGATTAGTGAAGATGGTGTTATATCTGATTTGATTCTTTTCTTGGATCAATGTGAGTAAAGTTCTTATCTTTTTCATTTGGGTTTGATTTAAATGCTTTTATCTCTACTGGGTTTTATTAATTAAGTAAAAAAGTGAAGTTCACAATAATCTTTTTTTGATTCTTATCGTCGTCATCAATACGTACATATATATATTTATTTATATATAAATATACACATATATGTATCTGTGTGTGTAAATGTGTGAATATAATATCCAGGTTGATCACATGGGTTATCAGATGCAAATAAAAGAATCCGTTTCAGATTGAATCAAACTGGTAAACACTCGAAATCTCCTTCTTTCTCTTGTTCTTGATTAATTTTATTACTTTCTAATCTTTTTTTTCTAATAAATGATGTATCATTGTAGGAGGTTGATGATAATTGATAACTGAAGATATGTTTACAATTATAATTTTATTTAGTCTTTTTATTATCGGGGAATCAGAGATTTATATCGTAACAATTGAAGGAGAGCCTGTTATAAGTTACACTGGTGGCGTTAGTGGTTTTGAAGCCACTGCTGTTGAAGCCGATGAGACACTTGATGTCACTAGGTTCGTGTTCTTCAAATTATCTTTCAAATTTTCCAATTCCTTCATATTAAAAAATCACAAAACTTTATCGTATTCAAGGTTTTTCACTTAAAATGTTGCAATTATGATTATTTTAACACTTGAATCTTTTTTTTATTAGTGATTTGGTTTCATCATATTCCCTCCATCTGGAATCGAAGCATGATTCTCTTCTTGAAACTTTGTTTGATGAAGGGACTTACAAGAAACTGTATAGTTACAAGCATCTTATCAATGGGTTTGCTGTTGACTTATCTCCCGAACAGGTCAAAATCAGGACTTTTTGACTTTTAATTGTATAGTAACGTATTTTCATTTATTTATTTGTTTATTATATTTATAGCATCCAAAATTTGTCCCTTTTTGCTATTAACCTATCTAATAATAACACTATAAATCATTTTCTAAATACATGACATTGCTATAATTTGGTAGATCTTGTTATGATGAAAGAATCAAAGAGATAAAGAAAATGATGAACATGAATCAATCAAATTCTCATTACTAGAAATGAAGCTAATCAACCACATATATACACGATTACAAAAACATAGAAATAACTAAACTAACGGTAAATTACTAAAATACCCTTTTCACATAACTAACTCTAACAATTTTTGTAAAAAGAAAAGTGACATGGCTAACACATCTTTCAAAATACAATGCACAAGAAAGTAGGATGCTATAAACCTACAACTACAAAAAAAATAATAATAATAAATAAAAGTACATTGCTATTTCTTGCATATACACTTGTCATAAACCAATCTTAACATATTAGTAGGCAGAAACACTTAGGGGATCCCTTGGTGTGAAATCAGTGGATAAAGATTGGAAAGTGAAGAAACTTACGACACACACACCGCAATTTCTCGGGCTACCCACCGGAGTTTGGCCAATGGGGGGCGGATTTGATCGAGCCGGTGAAGATATCGTGATCGGATTCATTGATTCCGGTGTTTTCCCACATCATCCAAGCTTTCGGAATCCTGATTCCGAACCATATGGTCCGATTCCGAAGTTCAGAGGGAAATGTGAAGTTGATTCCGATACAAAGAAAAGTTTTTGCAACGGAAAAATCGTTGGTGCCCAACATTTTGCAAAAGCCGCCATTGCAGCCGGTGCTTTTAATCCCGAGGTTGATTTTGCTTCGCCTTTGGATGGTGATGGACATGGAAGGTTAGTTTTGTCATTTCATTACCTCAAATAATTATAGTTTCTTTTTGAATTATTGAGATTTTATTTTTATCTGGATATGATTTAATCTGGTAAGCTATATATGGTTGTTTTTTATTAAAAGCAGAAAGAACAACTTAACAAAGAAAGTATCGGAAATGATGTTTTTCGATTAGGTCTTGAGTTTTTACAAATTTGCCCTTAGGAAAATAGTGTAACTTGGAGGTCAAAACTAGTAATTTCCATATTTTATGTGGTCTATTCCTATATATCATTGTCCATTGATATGAAATTCTTTGTAAACGTTATAAAATTAAACATACCTTATCGTGAATTTCTCAAACTTCTTTCGAATTCACGTGCTCAATTTTTTTTTCAAAAGAAGTGCCGTTTGACTTTTAAGGTCAAACCTAGCGAAACTTCCACACAAATTCATCGCCGATATCTTCATATTTATATACAAATCCAATATACTCAGATTTATAAATATCGATTTAATTTCACAATAACCTCCAAATTCTTTTAATTTTAAATTTTAATCCTAATATCATTCACAGTCACACTGCAGCAATAGCTGCGGGAAATAACGGGATCCCAGTTCGAGTTCATGGATACGAATTTGGAAAAGCAAGTGGAATGGCCCCTCGTGCTAGGTAAATATAATAAACAAATAAATAATAAAACTTTTTTCACACATATTATACTTATTTAAAAATATTAAAATACTAAAACTTTAAATGTTATCTTCAAATAGGATTGCTGTATACAAGGCGCTTTACAGGCTGTTTGGAGGATTTGTTGCTGATGTTGTTGCAGCGATTGATCAGGCGGTTTATGATGGTGTTGACATTTTGAATCTTTCAGTGGGGCCCAATAGTCCTCCGGCCACCACCAGAACCACCTTCTTGAACCCCTTTGATGCTACGCTTCTGGCGGCTGTGAAGGCGGGAGTTTTTGTTGCTCAGGCGGCTGGAAATGGTGGGCCGTATGCAAAATCTTTGGTGTCTTATAGTCCATGGATTATGTCTGTAGCTGCTGCTGTTGATGATCGAAGATATAAAAACCATTTGACACTTGGAAATGGAAAGATTTTAGCGGGAATTGGTTTGTCACGTAAGTTTTATTTTTATGATTCTTTAGTCAAAACCTTCTGGTGTTTGAGTCAAACAGTCCAGTACATGACAGTTTGAGTCAAACAGTCTAGTTCAAGAAAGACAGTTGGATTCAAACTGTCTGGACTGACACAACCGGACCGGTTTCAAAACAGACAAAAACAAGTTAAACCGGTTAGTTCATGACAGTTTGACTCAAACAGTCTAGTTCAGGACAGTTTCACTCAAATTGTCCTGGACCGACACGAAACTGGTCCGTAATATTTGAAGACCGGTTTCAAACCGGACAAAAACAAGTTAAACCGGTTTCTAACCAGAAGATTTTTTTATTTTTTTTTGGAATATATTTTTTATCAATATGGAAAGAGAGAAATTTCGAATAATAAATATGTTAGTATATACTAATAAGGAAAGAGATTAATTGTTAGTATTAGAATAATCAATAAGACGGATAGGAAGTTAATGATGTGAGTTTCAAATTACATACAATTAATGAAGTCGAATAAATATACAACATTTAGGACTAAAGGTTAAATATTGGTAGAAGAATTAAAGATGTAACAATTTAAGATATATATATATATACTCTACTTTCCAAGTTACGTTTCTAGTTTGTAATGGTTAATTGCCTGCTTGCCGTTAAAAATAAAAAAAATAAAAAAATAAAAAAAAATAAAAAAAGTTTGTAATTATAAAAAGCTAATAACATTGTGTTAGAGGTTTATTTAAAGCGCTAATCACAATAATGAAATGGGAAGGTTATATACTTATATTCACAAAATGACCACCTTTTTTTTCGAATTGTATTTATTTGTGGTCCATACCAATTTTTTTTTTAAATTGCAATTTTTTAGTAGTGGAACTCAATTTCACAAAGAAAAGATATTTTTCGAAACACATGGTCATTAACTACTCATTATGATAAATGTTCAAAAGGTTGTCATTTTGTGACATGATCTTTCCACTTTTGGTTATTTTTGGGTGTTTGTTTTATCTTTTAGAACATCTTTTAGCTTTTAGGAAAAATAAAAAGCTAAAAAATGTTTGGTAAAAACAACAGATATTGTAAAAGTTACTTTTGGATATATGGAAAATTTGGATATATGGAAAATGAACTATTTGGAAAAGTCTGGTGACTTTTTGCAAACGCTAAGCCAAACACCCCCTTAGTGGTTTGCTATTTTCTAAATTTATTGTATTACTAAATGATTATATAAAAATATTTTGTAAAACGATTCAATTTTTAATTTTTAATCTTTAAACTTTCATTATATACTCAACGAATGCAGCCGCTACAAATCCAAATCAAAAGTACACTCTCGTTGCAGCAAACGACGTCGTATTAGATTCTTCAGTTACAAAATTCAGTCCTACAGATTGCCAAAGACCCGAACTTCTAAACAAAAACATGGTAAAAGGAAACATTCTTTTATGCGGATATTCCTTCAATTTTGTAATCGGCTCTTCATCTGTTACAAAAGTCGCCCAAACCGCAAAAACCCTAGGTGCAATTGGATTCGTTCTTGCAGTTGAAAATGTCTCACCAGGCACAAAATTTGATCCAATGGCTATCGGAATTCCGGGAATTTTAATCATCGATGTTGACAAATCAATGGTAAATCATAAATATTTGTTATAAGTTGTTTAATTTTGGTGTTTAAATTCATGGTAACGTTATTTGTAAAGTTTTTGAAATATGTAGGAGTTGATTGAGTATTATAAAGCGTCTACTTTAAGGGATTGGACCGGAAGAGTGAAAAGTTTTAAAGCTAAGGGAATGATTGGAAATGGTTTGGAGCCGATTCTTCATAAATCGGCTCCAATAGTTGCATTGTTTTCGGCCCGTGGGCCCAATATAAGAGATTATAGTTATCGTGATGCGGATCTTTTAAAGCCCGATATTTTAGCACCGGGTTCTTTGATTTGGGCTTCTTGGAGCCCGAATGGGACGGATGATGTTAATTATATAGGTAAAAAAAGAAAGCTTGATTTGGTTAATTTTATTTTGTAGGGTTTTATGTAAAAAAACTCTCATTATTTTGGGAAAATTTTTGATAAAGTTCTTTTAACTCTTTTGGTTTTTGAAAAGAAAAGTCCCGATTATTTAACTATTTGTCCATATTAATGAAAAAGTCTTTTTTAGGGAAATCTACAAAAAGTCCCAAACTTTTGGGAAAAGTTTCAAAAAGTCCTAAAAAAAAGTTTTTGAACAGAAAAATCTCATTATTTTGATAAAGTCCTAAAAAAAAGTTTTTACTATTCAAATATAAAAAATGACTTTTTCGTTAATTTGAGCAAAATGTTAAATAATCGAGACTTTTCTGTTAAAAAAAAACTTTTAGGACTTCATTAAAAAAATTCCCAAAATAATGGGACTTTTCTGCATTAATCCCTTTTTTTTAACAGGAAATGACAGATTATGTGATTTTCCCAAAACAATGAGACTTTTCTGTTAAAAAAAAAGGATTTAGGACTTTATCAAAAGTTTTCTCAAAATAATAGGATTTTTCTGCATAAAACTCTTATTTTGTAGGTCACATATAACCCAACTTTATTTTTTTACATCAAAATGGAGTTAAAAATGGTACAAACACTATTTATTACATCAAGAAGTATATTACGTTTTTGTAACTTATATAGATTGCAAAAGAGAAATTGTCAGAAAAGTCCCAATATTTTCAGGAAAGTTACACTTTAGTTCCAAGATTTTTTTTTTGAACATAAAAGTCCCGATTATTTCATTTTAGCTCAAGTTTACAAAAAAGTCCTTTTTTTTCTTTTAACAGGAAATGACATATTATCGTGTTTTTAAAAATAATCGGGACTTTAATGTTCAAAAAAAAATCTTGGGACTAAAGTGTAACTTTCCTGAAAATATTGGGACTTTTCTGACGATTTCCCATTGCAAAAAATGTCTCTTCTATTAATTAGTTTTTAACAAATATGTATTACATGTTTTTATTACAATAACTTTATAAATTATATTATCACAAAGTTATAACAAAATATAATATTTGAATATAAATTAATTTGAATTAATTAAGCTTTTATTAAAGCAATATTTGTTAACTAAAAAAATAACATTCGTTACTTTCTCAAACACTGTTTAAACATCATTTATCCAAACAACACTTTATCCAGACAGACAAATGATTTTTTTTTTTTTGTTGTTGGAATAGGTGAAAACTTTGCTATGGTTTCGGGAACAAGCATGGCTGCACCACATATAGCAGGAATAGCAGCTCTTGTAAAGCAAAAGCATCCTCATTGGAGCCCAGCAGCTATTAAATCGGCTTTAATGACAAGTGCAAATATTTTGGATAGAGGCCAAAAACCGATTTTATCCGAACAATATTCAGAGTCAGAAACATTGATTTTTGTCCCTGCAACACCTTTTGATTATGGAAGTGGACATGTCAATCCTAGAGCTGCTTTGGACCCTGGTCTTGTCTTTGATGCAGGTATGTATGTTTTGACTTTTGACTTTTTTAAGGTCAATGGAATATTTTGACTTTTGGCTTTTTGTAAGGTCAAACAAACCAATCTTTGACTTCAAAATCCCAAAGGAAACCAAAAACTTTCACATAAAATTGGAAAACCCTTTAGCCTTCATCATAAACATAACATCAAAAACATGCATTCGTACCGTTATTGCAATGCAACACACATGAACTTTCCACTCAAAATCTAAGAGTGCGTTTGGTTTGGATGTGGAAAATCTTTCAGTTTTCCATGAAAATTTTCGAATGAAAATGAAAATTTTTGAAAACGCGTTTGGTTGATTTAGTTTTTAAAAAATTTCCAAGAAAATGAAAATTTTCTGTTTTCCAAATTGTATGTAAATTAGAAAAGTGATTTTTATAGTTTTCCAAAGTTTTTCTAAATTTCTAAGATGGAGGATGAAAACTTCATCGGTTCCAACCAAACATGTTTTCAAAAAATTTCATTGAAAACTGAAAATGAAAACTCAACTTTATTTTCTGAAAAAAAAATTGGAAAATGAAAACAGTTTTCCACAACCAAACGCACCCTATTGTGGAAAATTGTTTTTATTTTTCTAGAAACGTTTTCAGAAAATAGAGTTGAGTTTTCATTTTTGGTTTTCAATAAAAATTTAAGAAAACAGGTTTGGTTGAAACCGGTGGAGTTTCCATTTTCCATCTTAGAAATTTAGAAAACTTTGGAAAACTGTAAAAATCATTTTTCTAATTTACATACAATTTGGAAAACAGAAAATTTTCATTTTCTTGGAAAAATTTTAAAACCTAAATCAACCAAACCCGTTTTCAAAATTTTCATTTTCATTTGAAATTTTCCTGGAAAACTAGAAAATTTTCCGCAACCAAACGCACTCTAACAAGTTTTACTTTTTTTTTCCAGGTTATCAAGACTACCTCGGATTCCTATGCACAACACCCGGAATCAACTACCACGAGCTCCTTAACTACACACACCACCCATGTAACTACACCCTCGGTCACCCCTACAATCTAAACTCCCCTTCAATCGCAATCTCCCATCTTGTTAGAACCCAAACCGTAACACGAATTGTTACAAATGTCAATGAAAAAAGAAACATACACAATCACCACAAGAATGGGTCCAGCCATAGCCATTGACTCGAGCCCACGGTCCATGACCATAGGACCCGGTGCATCACGTAGGTTCACCGTGACCCTAACCGTGAGGTCAGTAATCGGAAATTATAGTTTTGGAGAAGTTATGTTGAAGGGAAACAGAGGGCATAAGGTTCGGGTACCCGTTGTAGCCATGGGTTATCATCGGTAGTTGTGGGGTGTAATGTAATGTTATTCTTTTGTAAAAGAGTATGGAAATAAGATTATAGAAAATGGTAGGAGTGTTTATATCGTGTAAAGAGAGCATGATAGAATGTGGTACTAGTGTGCGTGTGTGTCTTTAGTTGTAACTGTGGAGAAAGTGGTATGTGTGCATTTGGTTGATGGGTTGTGTAATACTCTTACCATTTTGTATAATCTTATTTGAACAGAATAAGCCTTCTTGAAAAAAAATGTTAATGGAGCATGGTAACAGCTATAAAATCGATCTCTTGAATTGATTGTTTATTGGGAAAATACCAAGAAAGTCTCAAGTTTTACACATGTTAGACAAAAGTTGTAACTTTTTATTTTGGTTAGTAAAATCCTATTTTGGTTAGTAAAATCCATAAGTTTTATGAACTTTCATTTTTAACCTTTTGTTCGGTCATCAATCAGTTGTCCTTATTATTATTATTATTTTTAAAATGGAAGGTTTTCTGAAAACTTATGATTTTTACCAAAACAAAAAGTTAGGGCTTTTGCCAACAAAACGTGTAAAACTTGGGATTTTTTTGGTATTTTATACCAATACCAAAAAAAGTCCCAAGTTTTATACGCTTTGTTAGCAAAAGCCCTAACTTTTTGTTTTGATAAAAATCGTATGTTTTCAGAAAACCTTCCATTTAAAAAAATAAACATAAAATAGGGACGACCGATTGATGACCGAATAAAAGGTTAAAAATGAAAGGTTATTCGAAAACTTATGGTTTTTACCAACTAAAAAAATTTAAAGCTTTTGTCAAGTTTATGTGTAAAACTTGGGATTTTTTTTTGGTATTTGTCCATTGTTTATTACTTGAAAATGAAATGTATTTGTAGGGAACAAGTGGAAGTGTGGAACATGATGAAGCTTGACTGTAAATAGAGGAAAAGATTTTGTCTCATGAGGAAACGTAGAGTTTCTCCAAACTTATAAAACGAATCAAAGGCTTTGTTGTTGAAAAAAGTGTACTAAACGAATCAAAAGCAACATTGCTATTATAGTCAAATCATAAAATAGAAACAACCAAAAATAATTTAAATATTTGCAAGATTCATCATATATGCCATCATAAATTCAGAATTATATATTATGACATCTACAAAACTCAAAAGTGAAATACTCAAAACAACCAATTCTAAAAGGTAATTTAAAAGGTAAAATGGTTGCACGTCTTACACACCTATCTTCAAGATATCTTTTCCAATTCTAGTCTTATTTCTTGTTTTATATGCAAATATAAAACTCAAAAGTCAATCTTGTATTGTTAATTAAGAGACATTTTATAAGTCTACATTCCCAAAATTCCATTACTTTTTTATACATGGTATGTGATTAGCACAACCAAGACTAATAAAATGTCTCTTAATTAACAATTAAAATTTTTAACTTTTCTTAGTATAAGCTGCTTACTCCTATGAACTTTGTTGCTAAATACTAACAAAAAAAACATAGCAAAGAAGTTGTATACTTATTGCACATTAGGAATCACATATAACTTTGACCTCCGTTCCTTACCTGAAATAGCAATGTATATCTATCAATTATAGCTACATCAACCAAGAAACAATTTTAGGTGCTATAATTGGGTAGATATTTCAATGTATAATGTCATAATAAACAAAAAGAATTAAAAATACAATGTTTTATTTCAGTGAACTTTCAAATTACAAGGCCTTAATTGGATAGAACTTTCGAAGTACATTTCAATTGGAAATATATAAAAGCGAAAAATGTAGTTATAGATGGTAGTGATTTTTAAGTATTTTTATGAGAATAATGATTTGCTAAAAGTAAAGCCAAATTACGCTCAACTGAAAGCATATTTTAGAACATGTTTGGTTGAATACGTTTTGGAATAATTTTGATTAATAATTAGGGTAAATATGATAATATTTAGGCATAAAGTTTGATACTTTGCTTATCTGTTCTTAAATGTATTTATTTTTATTACACAACTATGAGAATATATTGAGGGGAAGAGTTATCTTTTATATTGGATGGTGTTTTCGAAGAAATTTGATCACCTGATCTTAAAAAGGTTTATAATCACAAAAATCAATTATGGTTTTCTGTGTTTGATTATATAGGGGTAAAGTAGATATGTAAAGGCAGATGATAAAGTTGTCTTTAGAAAGTTGATTATTTAGTGAATTACAGCCCATGGTGTTGGTTTTTTTAACAAAATATTAAGTCAAAATGTATATTTTTGGAGGGATTATGACCATTTAGTAAAAAAAAACATAAATAGTGTTGATTTGTGGATTTATCTTCTTCTTCTTCTCATGTGTTCTTAGTTGCCACTTCAAGCCAACTACCACTTTAAGCCAGTTTGCAACTTCGTTACAAATCACGAAGTTCAAAGATGAAGAAACACTAATAAATGGTTGTGATGTTAAGGTAAGTTCATGGTTATAAAAGGTGTGCCATGGTGCACACCAAGGCGTGTCATGACACAAGGTGTGGTGTAGCCTTTACGAAAACGTTCAATGCAGGTTTGTTAAGTGTAGTGGCCAAATAACGTGTCAAAGCGCGTCTTATCGCATTATGGCGCGAGTTTTTTCTCAAGGCATAGGATTTTTTGTTTTTTTGTTTTTGTTTTCTCTTATCAAACCTAAAAAGTTAGTTTTTATTAACTTTTTTATATTAAAATGGTAATATAACACTTCTAAAAACTTGATGTATTTTATATAATTCTCTAATTATATGATTTATCTTTTTTAATGTATATATAATTGTCATGCCTTGAAAAATGTCATGGCTCGCCAATACTCGTCATTGTTTAGGCTCGACCTTACCACCAAGTCACGTCTCACGCCATTTAGAACCTTAGGTAAGTTCAATCACTAATAGTTTTTATTAATATCATTTGATTTTAGAGTCAAAATATTACTTTTTAGGTGTCAATTTGACATAAGTACTTAGGTTCTAAGAAAGTGTGGGGTTATTAAATGAGCTAAATGCAAGAAGCAACAATGCACTTTCATGTATTTGTTTATTATAGTTTGGTACTTTCTTCTTTTTCAATTACAACGTTGTATTTGAAAAATCTTATTTTTTAATTAAGAATTGTACGTTTGGGACTATATGTAGATTGGGATGTTTTAAACGTGACTAAATTCAATTGGTTAGTTGTTTGCTATCTAAATTCCACATGGTATGTTTATAATTTAGATTTTACTAGATATAAAGGATTTAAGTGTAATACTTTTCTGGGTTGATGATTTTTCTCTTTATTTTTTCTTAAATTGCAATACTGAAACATGACTCTTTTAATTTAGCCATAATATAAATTATATCACCTTAGCCACCTTAGCCAGCCAACCCATATAGCCCAAACTTTTTTTAAAAAAAAAATAATAATTTTACTTATCACATAAAAATCTAGTTACGTCAATTACACAAATAAATAGATAACTAAAAGTTAAGTTATTTATTCATCTACTTTTTATATTTGTTAAAATTATTGCTATATTCAATTATTTTCAAAGATACGTGTCAATGTTTGTAAATATTAGATTATTATTATATTAAAATATACATATAAAATTAACGTAAATTACTACTGAAATTAAGAATGACTCAATTTTAGATGTTCGTGTGATAATTGTGGTTATTGAAATTCGTTTTGATTTCAGATTGTGGTTGAAAATAAAAGAGCTCAAGTTTTATTTAAAATATGATATTGAAGCTAAAATCTATAAACTATTTTTTGTTAACTACCAATGATATATATTGTTTTAAGGCAATCATGTTCAAAACTTTTATGAGTTCATCCTAATTAAACTAAATAGTGGATACCTTATTTTTTTTTAGATTTAATTTCAAAACACAGAAATATCACTTGGCTGAATACAAATAAATGTTTATGTTTTTAATTGGTTATACTCAAATGATTGTTTTCTAAATTTGTCTCAATTTAATACATTATTTGGAAAATAAAATTAAAGTCTTATACTGATGCAAGCCCCCGTCATTACCAAATTCTAGCTCCGCCACTGCTGAAAGGTGGGATTGGCAAAGGTGAGGATTACACTTTGCAAACAAGTAAGACTCCATATATAATTTGTATAGTTAATTAATGTGATACATCTATGATTAATATTAGATTATTGTTAAGTCATTGAAATTTATTATATTTTATCAGTTAAAATGGTTTTAAGAAGATACTTTAGTAGGCTATGGAGCAATGTAAACGACAATGAAGAGGACTACCGGCTACGTAGCCGATTGTCTAAAAAATGATACCGAGATAATTTTAAGCACTGATGAAAAATCCATATGGATTCTTGTTATGGACATTTTAAAGTTAGGCAAAATTAATTTGATATTTAGGTTAATAAATTGGATGTTCATTACATATCAGACTTCTTTCCCTCGTTTAGTGATTCAAAGTTAGCAACAAGATTTGGCATTGCAGGCAAAGTGCAATGCTTTAAGAGAAAATGACTTACAAGAGTAACAAAGTATCAAAATTATACAAAAATGACCATTTAACTTTTCTTTATATACGTATTACAAGCAAACTATAGTCTTTGTACACTTATGATCATTAGAACTTACATTTTGTTCAAAAAGTACCATTGGTTTTACCGACATAATAGGTTACCAGCCACGTGACATGACACATGTCATCCCATGTGGCACCCGACATAGATTTTAGTGTTGATTGTTTACACATCTTACCATTAGATTTTTTATACACATTTTATCATTAAACTTTTAAATTTTACCATTAAACTTTTTTTATATACATTTTACCATTAAACTTTGATGTATATATTTTACCATTAAACTTTTATGTATACATTTTACCATTAATCTTGCATTTTACCAAGCATGAGTATAAAGAAAGAATACCACCTTTATATCAATATTTCATGCAGCGGGAAAAACATACGGTTTAGGTGTAAGTTCTCCCAAACATGGTAAAGCCACAACATGAATATTTTTTGGAAAAAGTGTTTTAGTTAGCAATGATTAAAATTTTGGCCTCGTGGATGGTGATGTTTAAAAAATGTACATGGATTTCCCATACCTCAAATGCTATGATATCAATTTGTTGGATTTGCAGGAATGATGAGTATTCAATCAAAAAAATGTCATAATATACTAAACCAGTGATATAGGTTATTTGGATCATTAAGATAAAACCTTTTGATAATGAATTGGTATTCAGACAAAAAAAATTTCATCA